CGGCTGACATGAACTAAAACTGAAAACCATTGCTGGCCATGAGTGACCTTGGGCGGTTGGGTAAATGGCCGGAGTCACAACGAGCAAAAGTGGAGGTGGAGATAGGATAATTCGAATTGGAAGAACATAGCAAGTTCTGTCTCAAAAATACGGTGCAATCTGAGAACAAACGGACTCACTGGTTGCACTGTTGTAGGGAAGTCAGGTGCATGGGTCAGGTTGGATGGGGACACAGAGGTGGTTGAATTCGAACGAGTAGTCCAGTAGGTTGCAATGAATGTCATGGCGGTCGTTGTGGTCAACGAAAAGAGTAGGCAAAAGGGCACGCTTGAGAGGAGGAGTGGAACAATTGCGGGTGTGCTATTAAACAGAGTATGGCAGTGCCGTGCCGTCATTGGCCTTATATGCTTCAGTTTTTGGACAGCCTCGTGACGGACGTCACATTTGAGATGATTCGGCTGGGGTGTGCAGTTCATTGGGCGGCGGTATTCATTTCAGCCTGGGCGAGGAAACAAGCTGGAACGAAGCCGATTTGGGATTGTAAGATTTCTTGGTCCGTTTGGTGATCACGGAGTTGTAGACCATAGGCCATGTGAAGTGGATATCTGCTAACCAGGTCATCCAAAACAGGCACTTCCGAAGTTAAAGGCTTGCAAAGATGAGGGGATGGGAGGAAATTCGCAAAACATGGCGAGTTTGTGGGGATATAAAATGGGATAATATGCATTAATATGCACAGAAAGAAAAACTTGACGTCTGCTGTAATTAGGGTGATTATATGGAGTGGGAAACACCAGGCTAGCGACTAGGGGTTGAGTTTGCTAACGTACGGTAGTACATTACAAGTGATCTAGTAAAAGCCTCTATAAGCGCGTAGAAGCAAGGTATGGGAATCAGATGCATAAGGGCTGGCGGGAGTGGATATCTAAGATAACTGGCTAATCTGATGTTTATCACGTGAGTTGGGTTACACCAGTAGAGAAAGTATGTGCCATGTCACTAGTCCCCGAAGTACTGCTATCAGCTCTGATCTGTAGATGGTGCATAGCGATGAAGACTTTCGTGTCGTAGGTTGGAGTCCTTGGCAAGAAATTGGCATGAAGAAACATTTTTGCACCACGACGAACGATCGTGTAGGTGTACAATAATTCACGGTTGCACCATATCTGCAGATGACTTCAGCAGAAATTTTGTCCGATGATACAAGAAATTTAAAGTCTCGTGATCAGTAACAATGGTAAAGTTCGATCCAAAGATAGACTTATGGAGTCGTTTGAGAGCCCAGTATACTGCAAGTGCTTCTGGTTGGGTCTGAGAATATCCACGCTCGGTTTTGAAAGTCGATGGGAAGTGCAGATCGCCTGTCTGCCACACAGTTCAAGGGTTGTTCCTATCCAGCGGAGGAAGCATCAGTAGTGATGGGCGAATTATGTTAGGCGGAAAATGGTTTCAAAACAGTTGAGGTCTGAAGAAAACCAAGCAGTGTACGCAACGTATTTTCATGGTTGAAGGACTGAAAAAATTGATTGGCAGGTATGGCATCAAACAGGCAACTTTCATGTTTGGCGAAATCAGGAATAAAACGATGGCAGTACTGGAGTGCTCCTGGAACTGAGCGCAGTTCTTGTAGATTGATTGGCGATGGCACATTATTTAAAGGAGATAGACGGTTTGTATGGGGCTTGAAACCCCTGTCATCCACAATGTAGTCAATACATGGAAATGATAGAACACCCAAAGTGCTTTTGTCGGAGTGAATAGGTACACTGAACTGAGAAAATCACTTTAGGTAGGACAACAGACGCATATCATGGGTAGCTTTGTCAGTAACGTGCACAATGACGTTATCTTGGTATGCTTCAACACCCTCAAAATCTTTTGTAATAGTATTCACACCTTGATGAAATACAGCTGGTAAAACATTCAGACCAGAGGGAAAAACCGCATCGGAATAACTCAAATGATGTGTTGATCACGGTAAGATTACTAGGGACTGCATCCGGTTGTATTTGAAGATAAGCAACTTTTAGATCGATCTTTGAAAACACGCTTGAACCTGATAAACGACGCAATACTTCTTCGGGGTCTTCCGTGGTGCATGTGCGTTGTAGTAACCGGGTATTTAGCGTTAGCCGGTAGTCTTCACTAAACCTCTGTGTTATGCCATCAGCCTTTAGTGGGGTGACTATCGGGGTTGCCCAATTTGATGATTCGACAGGAGTCTGTTACAAACACTGAATTTAATGCTTGACGAACCGGCTCGTGTAAGCCAAATGGAATAATTCGTCTCTTAAGAAATATGGGATCTCCTGTAAATTCCAGTCTTAGATTGGGTATTTGCATGACACATGTAGTCTTAAAACATTTAATACTCAGTTGTTTGCGTTCATTGTCATTCGCAGAAGTCAGTAATGTGCTACTAGTTCGCAATGAGCTGTAGTGAGCGCAGAACTTTGAGTCCGATAATCGATGGTCTCGAGGCTGAAACCAAAAAAATACAATCAGTAGAGGGACCTTATGACAATCTCACAGGAACCGCACCTACCAAATTCAGGTAGAGAATGTCCAGTGGTACGTCGAATGTTGACATCCGTGGGCACTATCACGATTTGAAAGAGGAATAATAGACTCAATACTACCAGTGTCAACAATGAAGTCTTGTATTTGACCAGGGGCGGATGTCAGAGTTTTAGGGATGTGTGACGAATTTCGGTACGAAGCAGACGGAGAAAGTGTAGAGAGGTCTTCAGATAGTGCTTTCACGTTAGTATTTGGATCAGTAGTTAAGTTACATATTTTTTGACTTACAGACAAGTTGAATTACCCCCGTCTTACTGCAGACGGAACACTTCGCTTGCCTGTGATGGCATGAATATCTGCAGTAGTTTTGTCCACAAGATTCACGGTTCCCAAATTTTCGAACCACCGATTTAGAGGTACAGTCTGTGAAGTGACGTATCGATGGATTTGGCGCACGAGAATTTTTGTCCGTCTGCATCCGTGAATCATGTTCAGCACAGAGAGGATAGCGACTGTTTATCCATGTCGTAAAATTTATCGACCTCATCATCTTTGCCTATGCTTCTCATGAACCTGGTCAATAACTAAACTGCTCTAGGTTAGGCAACCTAAGAAATGGTTCCCAGTTTTAGTTCGGATTGGCCGGGCGGATCACTGAAATAATGCTTCGACACTAACTTCATTGCTTTTGGCTCCCCATTCTCATCAAAGTACAGTTTCCTATCAAATGCAAGTTAGGGCAGCTTAGTTCTGCCTACTCCCCGTTGTACCATTGTTTACCATCCTCAGACTTTTACGGTTCATCTTGCTTCAAACAGATATCATTCTCACAAGCCTGAAAAACCTATATTGCTTATGTTTACGTACCTGGCATCCACTTTGTTTAGATTGGGTCAGTTTAGTGATAAACTAATATGTGTTCCACAATTGCCATCTTTATGTGCGTGCCCCACTTTCATGCACGGCGGAGCTATCAAAACCGACGCCTTTCGTGCTTCTTTTCTGACAGTATCATCATCATCCGCCGGGCGTTATGCAATCCACCAGCTGGAAATACGCAGTAATATTATTTATACTATTCTCTTGGTTGTCACAGTCTTCAGATTTCCAGGGAACTGACACCAAGATTACCAGCTTGGACCACAGGTAGAACGACTGGATTGGTAAAGGGATTAGAGATGATTTAGACGATAAGCAAAAAGTGAGAATGTTTTCTGTGGGCTCAATATATGGACGTTTTCTCCAAAAATACCGAACCTGCGAGGAGATTCCCAGAAGTTGCGATAACCGTTGAACCAAAAATGATAGTTAAAGAGTTGAAGATTAGTTTTCTTAATGTGTTGCCAGTTTCAACAACATTAGAGAACCATAGGGTAGGGGCCGACCCGCGATACCTAACCGAAACGCTTTTTCAAAACCAATTCGTTCACTGGTGATCTGACAGAGAACCAATATTTGGCTAGCAATCGTCCCTTTCCATTATCCCCCAGTTCACCATTGCGTTCAATCTGTATGCTGGCACCCATATTTCGTGGATATTCTGATCGCATTGATTGTGCATATTCATTAAATTGGCTATGAACGAGACCATGACAGACCAGAACGCTCAGTTTTAACAACATCATAATCCCTCCGGGCAATTTGTGCAAGATAAGATGCTTGCCCAGGTAGGTTTCCACGCTGCTACTATGGCCCGGTTCAACCCGATTTAGATGCTTTTTCACGTGAGTCCTCGCGGTGACAGGCTTACTTTTGGATGCCAAGAACCCACGTGAAAATGCTAAACCGTCGCCCATCTTCAAATGGACAGGAGCCATTGGAACTGAAGAACAAAATCGACCGGAGAAGTCTATGCAAAACTCTCGATCCTTTGCGCCAGTCCATAAATTCGTGTAGGCAATGCCAACCGCAGATCCTGTCGATGTACCGCCTTGATATATGGTAGTTTTGACTAGAGCAGCAAGAACGAACCCGGCCCGGAAATCTTGGCGTAGGGCTCAATCCTATGTATCAACACGTGTATCCGTGAACACGAGCAGGTCAGTAGAAGATTTGCAAAGAAATGAAGTCATTGAAGAACAGAGCGATCCAAGCTATGGTCATTGGCCCAGAAGCCCAGGTTATTCTAGGAATGTTTTGACTATTCAGGAGAGCAACGTACGAGCCTAGAACGAGTTTGGGTTGTGTTGGAAACGCCCACATTTTGTAGGTCACAGCAACCGCGATGTTTGGATTGTTTGGCCGATGCGAGTTTATCCGAAGGTCTTCAGGTGTATTTTTCTGGTCTTTCAACGGAAGGCTACTTACCAAACGAATCCCAATGCTGTATTCCGTTCAAAGGTTTGATCAGTGTTTTTTGTTTCTTTACAGGCAGACAGGTTTCAATGGTACTGTGTTAGTCAATTCGGCCCCCATGAGTAACGTACCCCTGAGATTAGGTAAAATTTCATATGTATTCCTGATTCAGTCTGTCGATAGGTATGTCGTCAAAAGAGGTTTTGGACAACGCAGAGTGTATTCAATTGGTACGACTTTGCAGTGACGTTCACCTTCAGGTTTGCCCATAGCTTATGGTAACTACTGGCTTAGTGTCGGACATGTATAGCTATAGTGGATACAAAAGTTTCATGGACACCAAGCTTCGGGATATCAGATTCCACAGTCCGCTCACTGAGGAAGCTGAACGCACTTCTGGATTCCGGTATCGTGGATTCCCTGAAACAGCTGTACGGATTGGCACCGGACTATGATTTCAGGGAGTTACGTGCCAACGGAATACGAAGTTTTTTACTTCTCACCACGCGATGCCTGGCATCGCTACTAACCTATCTTCGGAGTCTGAACACTTACTCGGTCTCCACATGGTGAGTACCCTGTCCACGCAGCTCGGGCACTTTTTGCTATTACTCTGTTCTCTGGCTCAAAATCTTTGCTAAGAAACATCTACCAACTACTGCTGTTTTATTAGGTGAAAATGAAAGAATTAGGGCTACAGGTAAGGGTCAGTGGGCTATCGTTTCATTCTTTTCATCTTAGGTCAGTCGGCTTAAGAATTGGAGGCGATGGCTGTGATGCAAAACTGTCATTGATACCATGGTCATTGGTTTAGATGCTTTCCTCAACGACCACCATTTAGCAAGACTACAGTTGTTAACACCGTTCAGTTGACTAGCTTGTGCTCTGGTCTGATCCTCTGAACTTTTCAACACCAGAGTTAACTGGACTTATGAGTGCAGATGACCTCATCTGCGGATTGATTGGCCTAACCAATGCAGACTATGGAATGTAACTGGTTCGTCTACTGTGGGTGGTTCTTTTCTTCCTTAAACCATCTGAATTATGTAACGTCTCCCATAGACCAGACAAATCCTTTGAAGGCCTTGATAGTCAAATACTGGTTGTTTTCTAGTCTCGTTTGCCCACGAAGCCTACGTACTCAGTCTGTGGATTGTACTGCCGCGGGAAATAAACTGAAGTGACTCCTATTCCTTGGGAATCGTTGATTGGAAGAAGTGACTATTTTTCCCACTTATTATCGTATCCTGGTTGAACGTTCTGTGTAGCCTTTAAACTCCTGAAGGGCTAGAGGTGTCTGGACGAAGTTGTAAACAACATATCATTAGAAAGTTCAAGACAGGGCAAAAGAGCTCATTCGCTTGATACCATTGGGTGAACTGAACGCAGACAGGAAATCACCCTGCACCAAGACGCCTCTATTAGAGTTTACCCGCTGTGCCGTTTTTTCGCGACCAGTATTTAGAATGTCCAACGATCGGTGAATTTTTTGCTGAGCTTCTGGCCATTTGGGTAAGCTTTCAGGTTTGTTTGATTTTAAGGGAGTTGGTGAATCATTCGAATCTCTTCTTTGGCCAGCAGACTGGACTGTTGTCGAGTGCCGGTTAAAATTTCGGGTGGTTTGATTGGGTGGTCCATAACCGATTGTTCATAGGGGAGAGTATAGTAACAACTTGAATCGGGTCTGAGGTATTATCCTTCCGGTCAGAAACATCTCGTTTTGTGGTTCCCCTTGAGGGTCGCTTACAAATTCCGTTGGTCTATCCGGTTTATTAAGTACTACGGACCAATAGGAAAAGGATATACTGGTTCGCCTATGGCATCCGTTTAGTGCAGACCTGTCATCACTCGAGGGAAGCACGATGGCTTACTGCCAGGTTGCTTGGGCCAACACAAGAACATCGGAAAGTCAGGGTTGTGTTCTAACCACGGGCCTTCTGGTCAGTAGTTTCATGCCAAGCTATCTCGAGCTCTGATACGGAATCAGGGATCATACGGATCTTAGTGGGTTTAAGGTCTGTACATCTGAGCTTGGCTTCCATAATCCGAAAGGAGTGTGAGCCAACTTCTTGCTCACACCGTCAACGGATCGCAAACTCGGTGTTTAATACGACTAAGGACGGTGCAATCAGAATAATGCAAATAATACAGACCATGCTTCGGATACTCGAGGCTGCTTTCATAGTGCATTTCACTTCCAATGCCATTGATCTTTCCCCCACTATCTGGGCGTTCTCGGGATGGTGGAGTCCTTGCAGTGTTACCGTAGCCTCAGTCTCTCATTTTCTGCCGGCCTTAGTTGATATGTGGGTCTCAACAAGATTTGCTTCTAGGGGCAACTCGCCGGTGTTCCGCATCAGTAAATTTTAAAATGATTCGCACTCCCTGGTGTTTCGGTTACACAGCAGCATCAGATGTGTGGCAGACGCGTTGGAGTTGTTCGCACACATCTCGCCGGAATGCTTATCTAGAGCACATACCGCAACGTACCAGATTTTCTGGTGAAACTTACGATCCTACAGCTCTCATCGTCATTATGACAAATTACAATGAGTCTAGCGTCTACGAAAATGAGTAAATAACTTAATGCCAATTTCGCCCTTTTGCGGTGCATCAGGTAAGCATAACCCTGAGAATGTCTATCAACCTTGTTTCCCACATGAATGTTGATTTGGGCTTACGTACTAGATATCGCTCATTTGTAAACTAAAATGGTTGTATCTGGAGATTCAACTAAATCCTGCTGAATCTCCTAGTTAGCGAATCCTTCGACTGAGTTTGCCACAAAACGCCCGTCTCATTTTTCATTTGGGAAATATTCGAGATATCGGAGTTCTTCCCCTCATAGGACATTGCTTCTTATTTTGCTAAACATTCCTGGAGGGGGATTTATTTGAGATTTGGTTGAGCCTCGGGTTTCCATCTTAAGAATATTTGTATGCAAAAGATGTGTTGCAGTTTACGTACGTATGTTTACGCACCAGCTAGTCCAGTTACCAACAGCTGTCGCTGCCAAGGCGTTGAAGCGCTATCGTGGTGACCTTGTGAATGTCATGGTTGTACGGTAGTGAAGCATGAGTGCCAACACTGATGTTGCTGTCTTCGTCGGTGTCTCCGCAGCATTGGTCAGGTCTAGTGGGAACATCGGATTAGTAATGCTGAGGTACGCCAGATTGGTCTTAGGAAGAAGGAACTCTCCTGCGATTGATGAATTACTCTCGCTTCATAGGTTGCACTGGTTAGGACATGTACTCCACATACCACAAGACCTTCTGCCTCACAGGGCTCTTTTCTCCCAGCGCTGTGCTGCGTGGAAGCCACCGAGAGGTGGATAGTGTATGACCTGGCAACGAAGTACGAAAACACTAACCAGTAAACGTAGTCGGGTAGGCAACTGCCGCCTCCCTGGATGGGGACGATGGGACTCAAATCGCCAGTGGTTAATGACATTGGCGGAAATGGTCCGATCTCGCAATCGGGAGCGGGTGTGCATCAAAGCCTTCAATGCATGGCTATTCAATATCTGATTAAACTGAACATGCCTTTGCCTCCAAGGCTTGGTTGTATGTTTCACTTTTCCGTTTTCCGGTGATGGAATCCGCAGCAGCTGGAACCAACGCGCTTATGGCACATGGTTTATAGCTGATGCACTGAATTGAATTGTTGCTGTCTTTGAAGGTGATGATAACGTGATGACCTTGTGACCTTCAGCAGAACCGAGTCGGCTGATCAATGAATGTTGCGGGATCCTAGCTACATCCTACTGGTCCGTGTCTTCACTAACAATCGATACGAGCAGGTAGTCGAATTTGAGCTGGTGGGTCAAATAAATGCAAGCATACGGATAAACCGAACTGTATCGGTGAAAGGATAACGGTTAGGTGGCTTCAGCTGCGGAGGTATCAATCTTCTCACCGCAGTCCGATTCCCGGCGCAGTCAACCGGGTGAACGCCGATAATCTGAAAGCGATTCCTCTGATATAGCTTCAGAAGGGGAGATGACACGATTGACCCTGTCTTCGTAGTGCGTCATCTGTACGAAAAGTGCATATCATACGCTCTATTCACCCACTTCATGAAAACGTTTGATTCACCAAGGGAGGGGACGTTCTAGATAGTGCTCTAAAGGCTCACCTGTCCAAAAACCTGCCGCAAACTGATTGAACCTCACCGTGGTGTGGTGGTGACTGCGTCTCGGTGACCCGGTGAGATGTGCTGGATGTTGTCCACGTAACTCTCGGAGAGTCTCACGCTAAGTTAGTCAGTGGATAGAGATCTTACCCACTCAGCTCCCTCGAGAGTCCCATTCATCCTGTCCAGGTTTTGACCGCCCTGACAGTATCTCAGCTAACACACCAGTGAGCTGTGTTAGTACAAATAACACCGTACTACATTGGCCGTCATGTGGAGTCATCAGTCAATATTGCATACAGCAGAGCGTGTGAGCGAAAACAGATCACGTCTAACACCCGGTTTTCTTCAATAGTGTCTCTTCGTTGATTTGATGTACATTCTAACAACAACTTTTTTGCAGATTCCAGCCACAAGCATGTTAGTCCTACGTCTAAAGACGTGTCTATTGGTAGCGCTGTTAAAAAATCAGCTGTCAATTTTACCTTGACAAGGTTTAAACTAATTTTGTTACACGCCTTCCAATAACCCGGGCCAATCAGTCATTGTGTTTTAATAAAGACTGTCCCAACCATGGGATATCAACCTCAGTTCACTTGTAATTAGGTTACTTACTTCAGTACTACTATGACGGTAGACGGAGGACGCAAGCCCAGTAGCACCAGGTATATTTTGACCCACCATAGCATGCATTAATAACATTTTCACAACTCCAGCGGCGCCACACATACCACCAACTATCTGGTGGTTCCTCTCAGCTCCAAAGGAACCTTCGACTCGGTAGATAGTTGTCGCTTCTACATGGCGTTATCCTCGAATTACCGTTTATTTCGCCACTTCTGAGTCATTGGGGTTTAAAGTGCGCTTTCTGAAATTTTTCGCAGTTTTCACCACTCTTCACTACTGGTGAATCGTGATGAAACCTTACGCAGTTCGCAGAATTTGACATAAGAATCAGTTTCTTCTCCACTAAGTTGAATAATTTGGACACAGTTTATTTGACCTTTTATCATTCGACCCACTTATCTCGACTCTTGGTCTGTAAGTGTGCCCCCTGCATTTCTGGCGTAAAAATGTGCTGTAAAAAATACTGTCTGAGAGATGTTGGGTCACAGGTCCGAATGAACTACCGGCAGTATTACTGAAAGGCGTCGGTAGATTTTTGAATGTTGCTTTCAGCAAGTTATTTAGACCATTTTGGAACGAGAATGCGTCAGTGCCAACACTGATGTTGCTGTCTTTGATGATGATGATACGAGAATGTTGCGTCAGTGCCAACACTGATGTTGCTGTCTTTGATGATGATGATGACGAGAATGTATTCAGAGAAACTGGGGCCCGCCCTTGTTCACAAAGACACCTGACTCGAGTACTCCAGTTGTTGCTATTGTCAGTAGGATGTTAACGTGTGAGGCACCATTTCTAAAGCGCCTGGCAG